ATTAAGGTCATCTATTAAACTTTTTGAAACAAAAAAGAAGTTAAATTTTGTAGACCACTAGTTATTAATTAAAGAATATATCTTATTTGAATTGTAAACAATTTATTAACAAGAAAATGAATATAATTGATCACATTATGCTGCTTACCCAATGTAAATTTATTTACATTAGAATCTATTAATGATTTTAATTTGGTTTTATTTATTCTATAGAGGATTCTAAGAAGGTGTACTTAATTATTTATAATCTTTGTCAGTTTGTTGGCTTTATTTATATCCTTACTATAATGGCAATAATGTATTCACGAGATGGGCCAGGTTAGTAAACATTTAAATAATTTAACGCATCAACTTTAATAACGATTAGAATGATATAATACAATATACTTCTTTTTTAGCTTCAATGAAAGAAACATATGTGGCTGTTGGAAACCCAATGAAGTTTATACAACTTTTACAATTTTTAGAAGTTATGCATTCCTTATTTGGTTATACTAAAAGTAGTACATTAGTATCATTTGTACAAATAGGAGGTAGAGCATTTGTTTTATTTGCTATGATTGAAGCTGAACCACGTATGCAAACAAAACCTGTTGTTTTTTATTTATTTCTTACTTGGAGTATAGTAGAAATAGTTAGATATCCTTATTACATAACACAATTGCTTAAAACTGAAATTCCATTTCTAACATGGTTAAGATATACTATATGGATGCCTTTATATCCATTAGGATTCCTTTGCGAAGGAATTATAATATTAAGAAATATTCCATACTTTGAGGAAACGGAGAAGTTTACTTATTCGTTGCCTAATAATTGGAATATTGCATTTCATTTTCCAACGTTCTTGAGAACATATTTGCTTATATTTTGTTTACCTCTTATGTACATGTTAATGTCTAGAATGAATCAGGTACGTTATAAAAAATTAGGTAAATACAAATTGAAAAAAAAGTATACATAAATTAATAATTCATTTTTAATACATAAATTAATTACATTGCACGTATGATACACAAATTTCGATTCACTAAAGTTATCTTTTTTTTCTAATTTTTTAGTTCTCTTCTGTCTTCTATAATTAAGAAACATTTACCAAATATTTTCGTTCTATACAGATTCCAAACTGTTACGTGTAGTGATAATATAGTGACTTTAAAATATAGTAACTTTTAGATGTAATCAGGTATTGAACATTGTAATTAAATATAAATATTGTCATACTGCTGTAGTTTTTAGTTTAATATATTTAAGTACATCTCATGTTTGAGACATCTAGTGAGTGAAAAGTCACATTTTCTTGACACAGCCATTGAATTAACACCACCATCTGATTACCTATAACAGGTTTCTATCTTAACGATCATAACAGTTTTATTTAAGGCGATTATTAGATTTGCAGTTGACAAAAATTGTCAGAAATTGTCCTGATGTAAAGACAGTATTGCATTTGCTTATGTGATTATATAGTTTAAAATAATTTACAAATTGTACACTAGCAGCTATACAATAGCTATTTTTGACATTGCACGTGATATGTATAGAAACTAACAAGTTGAGAATTAAAAAGTTGACTGAGTTATCTAAGAACAAAGGAATTTAGTAGTTTATTTAGTTTACGTTTAAATAATCTATCTCGATAACGCATAATTATGTTTACATAATCTCTAGGTATATATATGTATATATAAAAATAACAATATTATACATTAAAGTTAAATATTATACAACGTGAAAATATAAATTAAATCATGAAATCAAACATATAATTATTTTCTTATAATTATTTATGATTTATTTGGGTTGGTAATCGAAACAAAAGGGACGATTAATTAAAAAATTAGAAAATCATTATAAAATATATTTACGAGCATAATCTTATGCCTAAATCAGACTAGGAGACAATTGTTTGTAGATCAGAGATGTCTAACTTATTTCCTTCACGCTAGTAACTCGGTAGTGTTACAAACGATACAAATAGGTAAAAGTAGATATGGAGTAACTCCGTAAGGAGAGTATCACTAGAGTGCCTGCGAGCACCGATTTACCACCTCTATAACAGATGACTGCAAACAGCGGGAGACAGAACATTAGTCTTAAAACAGTTCGCGAACAAATTTTTAATCCGTATTCTATTTTTCATTGAAATGGCAATAAATAGCATATACGCTAAAAATTTGTTTATACACAGTTTCATGACTTCTCTTTTGTTCTCCATTGCTTGTAAACTGTCCGTGAACAATTGTCTCTTAGATTGGACTATTTACACGAATCCTCCCGCCTGACGTCATATCATTTCGGTGTCGTGTTCAACCTTATCGATAATTTATGAATTTAAACTTGTTAGTAAGAATAAAGTATATTATATACTTCATTTTTACTATGGGTACAATATTTTACAAAGGCAAAACTTATATAAAAATTTTGAATGTTCATATTTCTAAATTGGGCAACCTTGAACATAACTTCTACAACATTTGTTGCTTTTTTCTCTCGATCGCAGAATGACAAGAAAGCGGAAACTGCGTTCAAAGAATCAACAACCTTAGTTTACATAATAAGTTGCAAAAGTTTTGTCTTTGTATATATTAAATATGGGGTGTTTAGTATGACTTGATTGTGACAAATGAAAACAGCACGTATGTTTGAAGCGATAGAAATAATATTTATGGAACTTAATACTACAGAAATGTAGTTTTGGGACATGTATATAATTTTGTCATTTTTTAAACGAATCTTTGCAAATTTATACTTGCATGGTTAATCCTTCACACAATTTTAGTAATTGGAGTTATCGTTCAATATACAAGATGATTGACGCAGTTACAACAAGCCATATTATTTCCTGGTTGAAGGTACGCAAAAATGTAGCGAAACAAAAACAAATGGTAGAAAATCCTGCATATGGTGGAACCTATCTTTTCG